TAACTCGGCTTCCCCCTGAAGCTTCTGACATCAGTAGGTTGGTCAGGGAAGGCACAGGACTGTTAAGAAAGCTGCAGGGACTTTATTTCACAACTGGCAATTATCACTGGGAATTTTGAAATGCCAGTAATGATCCTAAGTGATCCAGCCTACACGTTGCTCCCATGGCTCATGAAGCTTTTCACTGGACATCTTGACAGCACCAAAGAAGGCTTCAACTACAAGCCTAGCAAGTGCAGAATGACAGTTGAATGTTCCTTTGGTTGTCTGAAGGACCACTAGCATTATTTACTTATACATTTGGGCCTCAGGGAGAAAAATAGCCCAATGGTTAAAACTGCCTGCTGTGTCCTGTATAATATCTATAAAACAAAGGAGGGGAAGTTTCCATCGGGGTGGGGGGCAGAAGTGAAGCAGTTATCTGCCGAGTTTGAATAGCCAGCTACAGGGCTATTAGAGCTGCTCAACATAGACCTGTATGGCTTAGAAAGACTTTGAAAGAACATGTTAAGAGTGAGCCACAGTAGCATGTGTTGCTATAGTGTTTTCTATCTAGCTTTGCTCATTTGCAGTCCCCGAATGAATCTTGCAGTAATTACTATGTGCGTAACAACATAACGTTGTCAATGCACCTGTTAATATTGTTTGTGAATGATGATATAGGTTCTGAGACATAGTAAATAATGGGGAATTGGTTGCTCTCACACCTGCTCAGTACCAGATACCATATTTATTCTCTGAACTAATAAATATTAATTTTATTCCAAAAATAGAATTTCATTCTGTAACAAGAAACAAACAATTTAAAAAAATATTTAAAATGTAAGAAAACAAAACTTATGAAGTAAAACAGTTACTTCCATTTCAGATATACATTGCATTCAGAAACCAACTGTGGCTTTCACAGATAAGAATGTATAAAGCTGTGATTTCCTTTACTGTCTCCTCAGGTAAAGCGGTAAGGGTACTATGCTGACCCCTGATGTCACATGAAATGTTGAAGGAGAGTATAGGTCGATCTCTGTGGCCTGCAGAGGGAAGTAAGCACAAGATTGTTGAAACTTCAGATGCACCAGAGTTGGCAGCATCTGTTTTGCTGTCCGAGAAGTGCAAGCATTTTCTGTTTCATTTCCCTCTTTTCTTGTGTCTTTCTCCCCTCCACACTGCCTGCAAGAGTGATCATCCAGGCCCTTGCTAGTTCTCTAAAGCTGTGCTTGCTTGCAAGATCTCCTGAAACATGTCATCCCAAGTCCTCTTCTTTCTCCTTATCTGGCTCAGGCATTCTGTGAAGGCAGAGAAAGGCTGCAATGGCATCAGCTGCATGTACAACATACAGAGATTCCATTGTCAGTGTATTCATTATGGAAATCAAAACATAAGATGCCGAACTCACTCCTCGTGTTCCCCAGAAGTTGTAAGCAATAGATTCTCACTTCTGCTTGGGATTGATTGAGCACAACACCTGTCACAGCCACCAGCCCATAGTGAATATGGTCCTTCAGGAGTTGAGGAATAGCTTGCTTGCATTATTCCTGTAGTAGAATGCAGTGGAACTGAATACTGCCACCAGTCTGCATAGGTGGTGGTGATTTTAGCCAGTATCTCATTCCTGAGGATAACAGAAGCAGAGAGGGCACAGCTGCTGCTGGTGTCCTTTTGCTGCCCAAGCCCACATGCTGTTAGCCTGTGTACTCTGATGGTGCCTGCTGAAATAATCACTGAGTGGCATGCAAAAGTGTCCTACCATGGTGAAAGAAATAAGACAGTCCTTCCCAGAAACCTTTGGTTGAGGATTTCAGAGTACCTCCATGAAAGTGTCATCCAGGTCTGTAATTAATGAGACATCCTGGTGCTTAGTAATAAACTGCTTCATGTAGCTCCCTCTGCCTAACTCCAGAGAGGAGTGAAAAGCAGATAGCAACTCCGCATCTCTTGGTTGCTTCATTGCCTCTTCTAGCACAAGGGGAAAAGAGTGAATCAACAGATGAGTCCTCTATTTTGCAGGTTCCGTCTCTGTAATTTCAAAACAAACTGCATACTTGCAGAGGTTCCTTCCCCTGCATCAGGCTCACCTATTCTCAACTGTCAGGAATGACTGGACTTGCCGTACAACTGGATTTCCTGGTATTCTATATCCAACATTTGTTGTCTTCTTCCTTGTCTGTTTTTCTCCTGCTCGCTGTTCTTGGCATGGGTCTGTGACTTGGACTTCTTGGGAGAACCCACAGGGTTGGTAGTGGTGGTTGTGGTGTTTCGGGTATATAGCTCTTTGTAAAAATGGTAGATCTTCTGCTTGGTACAGGATCATTGGCTTTTGTGGCCTTCTGCTATGCCTGTCACAGCTCTTTGGCATTCATGTGGTATTGCTGATTATTTCTCATAGATGTCCACATTTCTACCGCTGGATTGAAGTTCCCAGCTCGCACTGTGTCCCGCCCCCCCCAGCTGCACACCAGTCTTGAATGTAAAAAGGCTGGAGCACAGCAGCGGGAACTCAGCCCCCCCACGAACCGGGAGTCAGTCCCCGCTGCCATGCTTCTGATTTTTAAATGTATTAAGAGCTGGGAGACTCTTAATACATTTAGAAAGCAGAGGCGTAACATCTGGGACTGGGCACGAGCCAGGAATCAACTGATTGTCAGTCAGCTCGTGCCCAGTCCCAGATGCTGGGCTTCTGCTTTTTAAATGTATTAAGTGCTTCCAGGAATCAACTGTCCCATCTCTCTTCTGGTCCCCTCCTCTCCTCCCTCCCCCATCCCCCGCACCTTTGCTTTTTAAAGGTATTAAGAGCCTGGAGGCTTTTAATACATTTAAAAGTCAGAGCCTTAGCAGGGTTAGCTCCCAGGCCTGGAGCTAACCCCACTGCAGCTGTGTAGTTTCCCCACCTTACTGACTAATCGAGTAGTCAATGGAAATTCCATCGACTACTCAAATAGCTGATTACCTGTAATTTAACATTCTTAACTGGACCTCCTGGGCCTGTATGGAGAAAATGCTGTGCATGCGTAGCTCCAATGTCTCCTGTTTTTTCCAGGCGGGAGTATATCTGGAATGTGTAGCTGGCATAGTCAGCTGGACAGTTACACTCAACAGCATAGTACTAGTGGTGCTTTTCAGGCTGGGCCACAGGAAAAGGAATTTCAGAATTTTGCAGATTTTTAAAGAGGGAGTGGAGGACTTCCTGTTTACCTGATATCTGGGCAGCAGAGTTCACAATGGTCACTAGAACAGTCAGTTTGGGGTGTTGTAGGACAGTTGCAGGAGGTCAGTCGTAGTCTACATAAGTAATGACTAAATGTCATGTCTTACACTTTCATGATATCAACCTGATAACATTGACCATGACTTTGTTGTTTGGATAGGTAGGGGTATTAAATCATCATAGCAGGGCTCTTATTAGTAGGAGCCAAATTAAGTGAAGACATATCCACAGCTAGGTTGATACATGCTGCCTTTTGTCAACCTACCATGTAGTGTAGACCAAGCCTTAAAAGAAAGATTAGGTTCTGCAAAAATTAATGGCTTTGGCCCCATATTTGCCAGTGAAAACTCTCCATCTGCCATGGCAAATTATTTGAATGAATTTTTCAAGCCCTGTACATTACATAACATGCTATGAAGTATTCTTTATAATTGAAATGAAATTACTCTTGTACAATATATGGTATAAGTATGTGTTATGACTCATTACTCTTGATTTTGATTAGTTTCAGAATATTACAGAATAAAAATAATCATTAGAATTGAGTGTCCCTATTGAATATTGAGGTGCCACCCTTATTCTTTCCTCATGTGTACAGACCTAATTTTTTGACCAGTTAAATGGACACTATCATTTGTCTATGTTTTTTCCCTACTATTGTGACAAATAAGATTATTGAAGGAGATTAGGGGAAGATAGTTTCCCTTTTAATGTTTAAAAACATACTGAATAAAGAAAATAGGTGTTACATCAATATTTGTTGCAGTGTAGTAATGCTTGTGTCTTAAGAGTGCTTTTCATCTGAGGATCTGTAAGCACTTTATAAAGGTGAATATACTACACAAAGAACATCTGGTAGCAGATTTTTAGTCAGTCTGACTGTTTACCCTGCATAAGGACCCAGTTTCCCTTGCTTTAGTGTGTGTGTGTGTGTGTGTGTGTGTGTGTGTGTGTGTGGTGTTTGTGTGTGTGTTTGTGTGTGTGTGTGTGTGTGTGTGTGTGTGTGTGTGTGTGTGTGTGTGTGTGGTTTTTTTAACAGTAACAAAGCAGAGGAAAAAATACATAGGAAAACATTATTAGTTTCTTTACTCTGTTACCCTAGTCGTCTTTTACTTGATCTTTTTCATGTCTCGTAATTGGTATTATTGTCCTAATGAACTAGAACTGCATGTAGTACACCAAGCATCTTGTATATCCTTCATAGGGCATAAGAAACTTACTAACTGCTGTTTGATCCTCCTGTTTATGCATCCTAAAATGCTATACTTTGAGACATGCATCTTAAATGTTTTCTTTCTGGAACATTAATATTAAATTGCAGTGAATACAGGAGTTATTAATAAAAGCTCTGCATGGATACAAATGTCTACTCCTTGGGAGTCGACCCCATAGTAGAGCCCTCCGAGATACAAATATCTATCTCTTGGGAGTACACCCGCTTACAGATCTGTGGGTCTCAGTGCCTAGCTGTAGATAAATAGAGCCCTGGGGCCGTAGGGCTCTACTCACAAGTGTCTCTTAGGAGTAGAACCCTACAGATCCCGATGTCTATCCACAGACATTTGTATCCATGTAGGGCTCTATCTATTAATTGACTTTTATTATTAAATGTTTCAATTTTATATACAAGGAAGATGAGACTACAAGATTTCTTTAATGCTTTGAATATGCTCAGTGCACTAAAGAAGATACTAAAATTAATAAAGAAATCTACTTAAATCTTTTTAATTATCAGCGTCTAGGCAGTATTTTATTATTATTATTATTATTATTATTATTATTATAATTGCTTTTGAAGGGCAAGTGTCCTGAAGATGGATGGGATGAAAGCACCATTGAACTCTTTCTCCATGAGCTTGCTATTATGGACAGCAATAATTTTCTGGGCAACTGTGGTGTGGGTGAGAGGGAAGGAAGAGTGGCATCAGGACTGGTTGCCCGGAGGCATTACAGGTAAGTCTGGCACAATTTTCATTCTACTCTTTTATTATTAATGATTAAAATAAGCCATTTACAACATGTTTTGTTATCAAAGTTTGAAAATAGCAGAAAATCAAAATTTCATTTCAGACAATTACATCAGTTTCATTAGCAAAGTTTTATAAAAGTTTTTTTTTTTTGTTAGCATCATCTCCTCTTTTACTGTGTTCACACAATTTTGCTCTTAAGGAAATTGTGATTGTTAGAAATGCAAAATTTTGATTTGGTTAAATGACAAAGCAAGGAGAAGAAACTTCCCTCGTTAAAAAATAACTTCTGTGTTTCTTGTCCTTTAAAGTTCAGTTTATAGAGTACAGCATTAACTCATTTGTATATTGCTTAAAAAATTTCTTTTAAATATGTTGTAACTAATTAGAAAAGATCCCTGGCATCCTAATATTGGCATATTGATTACAGGCAGTCCCCGGGTTACATACAAGATAGGGACTGTAGGTTTGTTCTTAAATTGAATCTGTATGTAAGTCGGAACTGGCGTCCAGATTCAGCCACTGCTGAAACTGACCGCCAGTTCTG